GTGTGTGTGTGTGTGTGTGTGTGTGTGTGTGTGTGTGTGTGTGTGTGTGTGTGTGTGTGTGTGTGTTGAACATATTCTGGCGCAAAGCTAAGAACACGAAAAAGGGAGATGAAAGAGACAGAGGAGCGGTGACATGTATCTGTGTGCATGTGAAGCGTGTTGGCATGCCAGCGCGTAGGGTGCCCTCCACTGATTCGCGAAAGGGAGAATTAAGAACCTCAAGCGGGAGATATTGAACAAAGACCTCTGACATTTCATTCTGTACGTTCGGTGTCCATATGAAGTGTACATATGAGCTGTGATGAATGATAAACTTTTGTTAAAGTAATTTCAGTGTAACTACAGCACTTTCATTAACGAATAATTATTTAATGAAATTACTTTGGCCACATGCAGTTCGTAATGTAGTGTAACTACGCGCAATAATTTTAGAAAACTGATTGTTGATGTAGTTTAGTTGCATTTTAGGATTAATTTTACCATCTCTGCTGAAGATTTTAAGCAAAGATGACCAAAAAAAAAAAAGTGTTGGGTCTCACACATACACGGCCTTGTTTGTATATGGTTGCATGCTTTCTATAGACGGCACGCAAGCATATGTTGTAACACCGGCTCCACTTCTGTTGCTGGAATACATACTGCCATCTGTTGGGGACACGGAAAAGAAAGCTGCATTCGAGCTTAGCAGCAGCACCATCGTGAGAGCTTTTTTTTTTTTCCCTATACCATTTCTCTTTCTATCTCTCTGTTCTATTCTTTGCGTACACGTGTGAACTGAAAAGAAATGGACATGACGAAAATAAACATCATAAAAAACGTAGTGGGCTTCACTGAAATGCGTGGAACGTTATAATGAAAGAGGGCATTTCGACTCGGGGGAAAGAGGAGTCGAATTAGCCTTTTCGCGTATGTCATTTCCAAAGCACTTACGTAGGTAAGCACAAGCGTGCCGACAGAATGGAGGTGGGTGGGGGTTAATAAATCTTCTCAATGCCTTAACTATACAAGGCGGACCATTTGAGTCAACGTTTATTACGCAGGGATGTGGTTACGCATATTTGTTTACGCTAATTTCATCAGACATGATGCATGGTGCACTTAAAGAACTTTTTACTTTGCACCTTTGACCCGGATAGCCGGCAATCAATGGAAGGCCTTTGTGAGACACACGTCATTGCTTCATTTTCCATTTTCAATCAATTGAAAGTTCGTTTTCTTTCGGATTCGACGAATGTGGGGGGGGGGGGGGGGATTTCGAGGACCCTGTGAACGCCTGTGTCGGTAAGACAAAAGCATATCTACTACCTATGCTCTCTATTACAGCGCTGCAACTATTACATTTACTCGGAGTTCGATAACGAACTAGAAGCGGCGTTCCGCAGCCTGCACATTGGTAGTCTTAGGCCCCGGAAATTTGAACATGTCTTTTCCGAAGGTCTCGAGGCAATTTAGAAAGTTAGAAAAAAAGCTACTGCACATGCTCAAGCGCGCCTCTCTCGAGTGCCCCCTACGTGGTTGGAAAAGTAGCAGACGACTCCCCTCCGGCTTTGTCATTTCGGTATTCTGAAGCGTCCCATGAGGCCGTCGCTCTTGCCCTTTTGCGGGCACCACAACTGCGCACTTTGTCGCGCATGGATGAGCAAACTATCACCGCAAGGAAAACGTCAGACTTTTTCGTTATCCCATCCGAAAAGCGGTACCCACCACGAATATAAAACAGCGCTAAAAAACAGGATGAATAAAGGAAGCGCCGAGATGTGTGTCCTTTCTTTGTCCCGCCATTTAGCGCTGTTTTTTACTGTGTACCTGACTAGCATAGCTCAATCACTCCAAAACACTTCTACACAGTATTGAAAAAAGGAGATATGCTGCAATCGTTTCTGCAGCAACAATACACTGGCACAGCACACCTATACGGTACTCCTTTTCTTTGGTTGTCTTGTCTACTACGCTCAGCAGCAGTCCAGAAACATGCAGAAAAGATTGTCTGAGTCATCGTCGTCACCACCATCATCATCATCATCATAATCATCATCAATCAGACTACGTTCACTGCACGACAAAGGCCTCTCCCATGTTCCACTGGTTTACCCGGTCCTGTGATTGCTGCTGCCAATTTATACCCGCAAACTTTTTAATCTAGTCTGCCCACCTAACCTTCTGTCTTCCTCTAACCCGCTTGCCTTCTCTGGGAATCCAGTTAGTTACCATTAATGACCAGTGGTTATCCTGTCTACGCGCTACATGCCCGGCCCATGTCCATTTCCTCTTCTTTCTATCAACTATGATATCCTTAACCCTCATTTGTTCCCTAATCCACTCTGCTCTCTTCTTGTCTCTTAAGGTTACACCTACCAATTTTCTTTCCATGTTTCGCTGCGTCGTCCTCAATTTAAGCTGAACGCTCTTTGTAAGTCTCCATGTTTCTGCTCCGTAGCCAAGTACCGGCAAGATACAGCTGTTATATACCTTCCTCTTGAGGGATAGTGGCAATCTACCTGTCATAATTTGAGAGTGCTTGCCGAATGTGCTCCACCCCATTCTTATTCTTCTAGTTACTTCAATCTCGTGGTTCGGCTCCGCGGTTATTACCTGCCCTAATTAGACATAGTCTTTTACAACTTGAAGTGCACTATTACCTATCTTGAAGCGCTGCTCTCTTCCGAGGTTGTTGAACATTACTTTCATTTTCTGCGGATTCATTTTAGGACCCACTTTTCTGCTTTCCTTGTCTAACTCCGCAAATCATGAGTTGCAATTCGTCCCCCGAGTTACTCAGCAATGCAATGTCATCGGCGAAGCACAGGTTACTAAGGTACTCTTCATTAACTCTTATCCCTAAATGTTCCCATTCTAGGCTTCTGAAAAGCTCCTGTCAGCATGCGGTAAATAGCATTGGGGAGATTTTGTCCCGCTGCCTTACACCCTCGTTGATTTGTATTCTGTTGCTTTCTTTATGCAGCACTATGGTAGCAGTTGATCCCCTGTAGATTTATTCCAGAGGATTCCAGCGTATTGTCTGAGTATGCAGATATAAAAAATTGATATACATTACGCATTTAAACATCATGATTTGATTGATGTGTGGGGTTTAACGTCCCAAAACCACCATATGGTTATGAGAGACGCCGTAGTGGAGGGCTCCGGAAATTTAGACCACCTGGGGTTCTTTAACGTGCACCCAAATCTGAGCACACGGGCCTACAACATTTCCGCCTCCATCGGAAATGCAGCCGCCGCAGCCGGGATTCGAACCCGCGCCCTGCGGGTCAGCAGCCGAGCATTTAAACATCAGGCGACCTATATAGAGAGTTGAGCTAAGGCGAAACAAGTAGTACACAGGGCAGTGCACACTAATTTACATTGCAACAGTTGTAAGACAACCTTTAACATTACAAAGAAATCGCGATCTTGAACTTTATTGCCACATAGATTTAGTGAAAAACACAAAATATGAACACGCATTTTAATGTTTTGTCGTTATTATGCCTGCGAAAAATCAATCTTCACTATCAACGAGAACTTATGCAACGTTACTATAAGGGAGCTACTGGTTCACTAGTATTTATACGTTAATGTATAGGCCTTCTTCAGGAATAAAGGGGGGGATATGGTACTATAAAGCAGGAGCGTAGGAAGGACATATAAAACCGGCGAACTGTATGTCCGTTTAATAGGATTGTCCAAGTGAGACAAAATCTACTCTTACGCATTTATTTATACATTAGTGTGACAGCACGGAGCTGTGTACACGATCCACTACTTTGCCGGGGCGGAACCAAAAGTGCATTCCAGACAAAGTACAAAGCAACCATGCTGCAAATGTTTCACATGACTTGAGAGGCACCTCGCCGACGCCTGGGTTAGGCGCAGCAGACTTATTTGGCTCTTTTAGGAGCGGAGCTCCTTAGGGCGTGGGCTCTGCACCCACTGTATGTAGCCACCTCTCGTTTAGTTCTTGAAGTGTTCACTAGATGGCGGTACCATCCCTTGTATGTAGCCAGGACTCACAGGTTTAAGCTCAAGTTCAAGGGGTTGTCTCGGCAGCGTCGACTCGGCGCAATTGATGATTCTTGCGCCGGCGTGATGGGATGCATACTTTGGCCCTGTAAGTGATCGTGGTTTGGCCTGATGAGGAGGAAACTGAATGGCTGATCGCTATTATCTAGAAAGACATGTTCTACGTTGCACTTACGTGTATGCAATATCTAATAAAACGTACCAAAGGCCACAAAGAAATTCGTTTTAGGATGTACTATACAAAAAACCTAAGGCTCGTGTGTTCAGATATGGGTGCTCGTTGAAGAACCCAAGGTGGTCGAAATTTCCGGAGCCCTTCACTACGGCGTCTCTCATAATCATATGGTGGTTTTGGGAAGTTAAACCCCACATATCAATCACAAAAAACTTAAATGTTTAATCTGCATATCAAAGCCTTTAAGTTCCACTCTTTCTCGTCACAAGAAGACAGCGCTAAGAGACATTGCGCTGATGCTATCGTGACGCCACGCAAGCTTGAAAGAAGTTCAGTTGCTCCGCTCGTGCGGTGTGGTGTTGAGGGATCCGAAAAGCGAAGGCCCTGATTTATTCACAACGGCTTGAATGACGGCGAACGGCCAAGGAAACGTTACGTCTGTAGCGCGTATTTGGCGGCGGTCACCGTGCTTTCGATGGAACGGAGTGAATCGACTTCCACGATTCCACGATAAGAAAACCTAGACAACTCGAAGTGATAACGATGGCGGGAGCGTCCTAGTTTGCAAGAATGATATGGCTAGACTGTATGACGCGGTTGAAGCCAACAGATCGCGGTTATCAGGGGGCTTTGAAGTAAAAAAAATAACGCTGTACGTTCTCACAACGAGAACGAATCTGCTCAGTACCAGGAACAAGTGTCGGACGAAATCACTGGTGTCTGTCCGCTTCATGAACTTAAAGTTCCTTGTCGAGCTACGAATGCAGAAGCACTCGCGCTCCACAAGCTATAAGAAAGCGTCGAAGTCAGCACGCGTTCACAGAACGCTGGCAAAGGACGCTTCTCAGAAAACAGTCTCCGAAGCATCAATATAAATAACGAACCCTGCACTCGTGTGTGTGCATGTGTGTCTCCGAAGAGCTCTAACGCTTGTCGTAAAAGACACGGGCACCGGCTAGCCGTTCCGCTGCACAATGACAGCACCCCAACGTCTCTTGGTGGCGCAAGTGAGTGCCTTTCTGCTGTGCCTGACAAAGGCTCATCCGAGCTGTTACCCAGGAGATGCCACGTACAACTGTTATTACTTCTGCGAAGCCTTCACGAGTGCCCGGCACTTTGCCATGATAGACCGATACCGTGCGCGGAATTGCGCCCACTTCGTCCTGAAGGACAGTTACTTGGACCGCTTGCCCCCGAACGCATTCGCTGACACCAGTGTGTCCGTGCTGCAGTTCAGTAACGTGACTGTGGGCGCTTACGGCGATCAGCAGAAAAACGCGACCAGTCCGTTCGACGCCCTCAAGCACCACCTGCGCAAGTTGATCTTCAGCGACCAGCCGAGGGCCCTCGGCTCTTGGAGCCTATTGCGTGGGCTTGATAGGCTGGAGACACTCCTGTTGTTGAACGTCAGAGAGGTGAACCTGACGACGGATTTCAACTCACTTCCACCTAGCGTCAAGGAGATCCAGATTCTGGGAGCACACATAGGCCGAGTCGATGAAGACTGGTTGACCACGCTGCACGGCTTGAACGCCGTCATGGTCAAAGAGACGAACCTATGGAGCATATCAAGATCGATGCTGCCCAGGCCGGCACCGAGGTTGATGATAATTGACCTGGCGTAAGTTTCGCAGTGAAAACGCGAAGCGGTTCAAGCATACAACCGTCAATAACGTATACGTAATAGTCTATCAACAAATGAAGTAGCATAGTTGTACTGCACGGTATCGTGATGATAACGGGAGTGCCACCGTATTTTCATGTCTAACTTTATCAGCGTGTCATTTAATGTCACGTGTCACGGTCAAGGCTTCAAGCCCTATTCTAGTGGGAAGCAGTTCTGAGCCCTCGGCATGAGAGCAGGTTCAAGTTCTTTGAAGTAACTAGGCATGTGCGCTCATGGCAGACAGAGACGCAGATAACCTTAACCTCCCTCATACAATACACCCTTCCCACAACTTTCGCCTACCTCACTTTTGCGTTTTAAACGTATGCACTTGTCGCAAATTAATGCTCCCCCCCCCCCCCCAAGCCGAATTCAATGTCTGTGAGTTTATTGTCTTCTGTTCCGTCACAATGAAATAGGAAAATGCCACCATCTGATATATGGTTCGTGCGAAAATATTGTTCTTGTCAGGCTTATACGAATCTATTATTTCTAAGGCCGGCCGCTTGTGGCTTCAACCTCGACGTAACACAGGAACCCTTATACGAAAGCAGCGTGTGCGAATTCGGTTATTTAACGATGTGGTGGCAGCGGTGTTGCCACCGGCGGGGCTAGACTGGCCTACATGGCCGGCAATATGGTTCCGCCTGAGCTTCTCCTGAATTGTAGGTGGCTGTCACCGCGTGTTGAACAGCCCAGTGCCAGTGCTTCCAGGAAGGCCACCAAAATCCGAGGCACGCTCCTCCTCGTTGCCGTGGGCCCTTCAGGAAAAATGAAACCTTTAAATTCTCAGGTGCATAACTTTTGTGCAAGCTGCCTACCATGGCTGCTCTTTCTCTATCAAAATGGGAGCAAAGCCAACAAATAAGGTGTTTAATGTCGCCGATGTGACTGCCGAAGGCTCAAAGTAAAGAAGCGAAAGGTCCAGTCTTGAATGACCACGCCGTGGTGTATGCGGAGTACGTTCTTATGCGGTACAACAACGTCGTTTGTGCTCGAGAAAGTCCACGGATTGCACATGCTTTTGGGCAGCCCTCAAGTGATTGCGTATTATACCTTTGTTATACTCAAAAGTCCCATGAGCTATTCTCAGAACTCATGCCCAAGTTTTTCGTGCAAGAACATCCCCCTTTTATTGCTTTTGATTCGAACGTGGGAGGGGATTCCCTGAAACTTTACATTAAAGCTCCTGCCGATCAGGCGTTGAATGAGCGGCAGAGATTGTCTCTAGAACTTTTCTCGTAGTAGGCCATGATGCAGTTGTTTCAACTCCGAATTGTCTACAGTATAATGTGGTATCAGAATGCTGACTTATGGCCCCGAAGATATCTTGAATTCGGTGTATCGTTAACGCAGAGAAAACCGCCTGACATCGTTGCCTGAGGACCTCACCGCGGATATGCCTGCATTGCGACAGTTGGACGTCGGCTACAATGAGATCACGACGCTGCATGAAAGCACCTTGGCGCCACTGAAGAGAAACAGAGGCTTCGTCAGCATGACTGGTGAGATGCACCGAACTCTTTCACCCTGTTCTCCAACACAAGCCGGCTTCTGCTTGTGGTACGTTAGCCTACTACGCCACAACTGCGGATCACAAGCCAGCTTCTAGCATTACAATGAACACTGCACAGTGTTCTACGCAATTTGAAGACAAACGCTGAACTACACGGTATACGGTGACTGCATTCTTCTCCACAGAAAGTTTTTAGGCGTGTAAATGTAGAGAGTGTGCGCGGGAGAGGGGGGAATATTATGAATTTTAGTTATTTGAAATCGGGTCATGCATTTTGGACAACTGTAAGAAATGGAAGCTACAGGGAACGTGCGTTGCAGCACTAGCAATGGAGTTAACAATCTTTTAAACCACAAGACCACCTTTTTAGACTTTTCACATAACCAGGTGACGGGAGGTCCGGCTCGCTGGCGTTGGACGCGCAGGGTTGCTCTTAATTGCTTTCCTCGGGTGCGCAATGCAAAAGGGTTGATCGGAGTGGTGGGTGGTCTATCGAAAGCAGTGTCTGATGAGATGGGCTGGGTGGTGAAACAGACGAGTTCGTATATGGACGCCTGTGAGGTCATCGGTAGAAGTTGGTTATTTCACACGAGGTCTCAGCGTTATAATAGGAGCCGGCACGCTTGCTATATAACAGTGCACATCACCCAACATATATTCTGGTTGCTTATAACTTCTGATTATCGCAGCTATAAATGGACGTCTACATCATTGACCAGCTCTGTGAACTGCTGCTATCATTACAGAAGCTAAGCTAATTCATGTCGTGCAGGAAACCCGATCACATGTGACTGCCGGATGGCGTTCCTTCTGACGTACCCGAGGCATTGGAACTACTACGTTTGTGCCAACCCCCCGTCCCTGGCCACCAGATCCATCCAGTCTCTCAGAGAAGCGGAGCTATGCAGCGAAGTCAGCGGTCGTGGCCTGAGCAATGACGTCACGGCTGAGAGCTGAGCCGAGAGTCGTGACGTTGAGCTGTCAACCTGCCACGTCAATGTCGATGGCGAGAAGGAACGCTCATTGTGGTCTTTGAGCAGACGACGACAGGTTTTATATTGTAACGAGGCTTTAGTTGTTCGGGGGTCGTTCACAAGACCACCGAGGAGTCGCTCGCTCCTGAAAAGTGCGTCCGTCGCGGCTGACTCTCGTCAGGTGGCTCTCGAGCGGAAAAGCGCGCGTTCTTTTCTTTCCTACAAGGCGAGAGCCACTTTCGTTCTTTACCCATGACATGTGGGCACGGTGAATACTTCATAATGCATTGATTTGATTGATTGATTGATTGATTGATTGATTGATTGATTGATACGCGGGCTTTAACGTCCCAAAACCACCACATGACTATGAGAGGCACCGTATATAGTGGAGGGCTTCGTAAATTTCGACCAGCTGGGATTTTTGAACGTGCACACAAATCTGAGCAGATGGCCCTACAGCAGTTTCGCCTCCATCGAAAATGCAGCCGCCGCATGCAGCCTGGATTCGATCCCGCGACCTGCGGGTCAGCGGCCGAGTACCTTAGCCACTAGACCACCGCGGCGGGGCTACTCTATAATGCAAGTGCCAATAATGTAAAATCGGCTCTAGATATATAACGCTGTAGTTGTAGAGTTTCTCGGGGCTCTACCGACCGGATGTCTTTCAGGTTAACCTCCCCGCATTCTCTCTTTGTTTGCTTCCTTCCTTCAGCCCCGCCGCGGTGGTCTAGTGGCTAAGGTACTCGGCTGCTGACCCGCAGGGCGCGGGTTCGAATCCCGGCTGCAGCGGCTGCATTTCCGATGGAGGCGGAAATGTTGTAGGCCCGTGTGCTCAGATTTGGGTGCACGTTAAAGAACCCCAGGTGGTCTAAATTTCCGGAGCCCTCCACTACGGCGTCTCTCATAATCATATAGTGGTTTTGGGACGTTAAACCCCACAAATCAATCAATGCTTCCTTCCTTCATTTAGAGGAAAACACGAAGTGCGGCGGGGCTTTTCTTCATCCACAGAAGTGCAGCGAAGCGGACGCCTGTAAACCTGTTAGCTCGATGTAGTTCGCAAGGCTATACTACAATAGGCGTAAGTGCTCGGTGTACAGGGTGTGCTATAATGTGTAACCTGAGCAGCACCACTAAAAAGTAACAAATATAACAAAATGAACAGGTCCAGCGCGCAAGGCGGCTTTCTTTACAATCATATGCTTTCGTTTTCTTTATTCGCTCATTGTGCCCTACGCTGGCAAAGTTTGACGAAAGGTGAGGTTCGCTATACCACAAAAGGCAACTGCGCGTGTCAGTGATCCTTCTATCGGCCTGTACCGTCTAGACAAAGAGTTTCTGGCTGCGCGTGTGCATTTCTCACATTTCCTTTCATTTCCTATTTATTCAGTGTTTCCACCCATGAATAAAATAGTGGGAGTTTGCGCTTGTTTCTGTAATCTTTTTTGTGAACGTGTCGTTTTTAGCGCAACCTTTTTATTTCAACCTCTTATTGGTAAACTAAGGCTTTTTCAAAAAGTACGCGTGTGAGGAAGCCTTATTGCGCAGGCGTAGCCATATTTCAGCCCGAGCCAGTTTAAGCCTTGATGTATATATATAATTGGCGCTGAATATGAAAGCTACCATTTGTTTCGAGAAATATCTTGCAAATATCATCCATTTTATTCAATTTTCTTTATGTTATAACCATACTGGGAGTGACAGACATAAATTTCAACCTTCCAGATTTTTTCGAAGCATTTGTTGTCTACTGTTGAGAGGAGTTTGGAATGGAGTAGGTGCTGTCTGACTACTTGTAATCTCATGTTTACGCTGTAACATCATTCCTGTAAATAAAGCCTTCCTACCTACAACGACGTCATTAATGCTAAAATGATGCTTTTTTTATAGCTGCTGCTCTTAATATATTGATCATAACCCTCTGCTGCTTTTTACTTAATTTCCCAGGGTATTCTTTGAGGCAAGCTGCTGTGAGCTACGAATGTCTAATAGAATTAATTGAAAAAAAAAACGAGAATTTCTCTGTCTATGCCCAAACAATGTGTCGCAGCCTGCTTGCGGGATCATTCCTGCTTTGATATACTATGTGAAAATACAGCCGTCATACCATGTTGTAACTTCACCCAACATCAAGTTTTAACTGAGAGATTCGCTTTCATAAGCATTATTCATCAGTATACGTCTTCCTACGCAGTTCCTTAGAATATAATAAAAGATTGAGACTCCTGTGACTGACATTTTTATCTCACATTAAATCTTCGACAATCAATCAGTATACAGTCTGCACAATCATGTTAATGATCGCTCCACGCCAGTGACTCATGTTAATAGACGCGACGCTTCAGATATGCCACGCGGTTCTATTAGGCATCAACATTAGCCACGCGTTCATAACGATGCCAAAAGTCATGTGCAATGCGTGCACACTAAGGTAGTTTTTTCGTTTCGCGAAGAAGCAATTAGGTCTTAGTGCATACCTCGGCAAGCGAAAGAAGTCTCGCGACAATTAGTGCAGCCGAAGGTCATTTGTCGCTGAGCAGAATGATGCCTCCATGGCGCTTCGACATGCCAGCACAAATACACGTCTATCTACCAAGTGCCGTCTTCTTCTATAATTAAATAAAACTTAGAGCGCAAATGAATAACGCGGGACCAAGAAAGAAAAGCACACACCACAATCACTCCTGGTGTTTTTTTTCCTTTTGTTGGTTCCGCGTGGCTAATTTGCGCTCAGGGTTTTACTTAATCGAGGGATAACAACTAACCTACCTAGCTATCCTGTCCTCTTCTTGTTAGGCGAGCACAGCTGCCTGCAGCACACAGATAACAACCTAATAACTTCACTGGGAACCCTCGGAAAGCTTGTCCTTCAGCTAGTTGTCGAACTCCGCCAACGCCCTGGGAGTAACAGCTGAAAGTGAACTTACGAAATAAAACAGCCGCACTTTATATTGACCTAGGATGAAAAAATGGCAGCATATCCACGTAGTGAATGATGGAGAGTGAGGCGAAGCATTCGTCCGTCCATTCGTTCTTGCTTCCGTCCGTCCATGCGTCCGTCTGTGTGACCGTCCATGCGTCCATCCGCCCGTCCGTGCGTGCGTCTGTTCGTGCGTCCGTCCCTGCGTTCGTCCATGCATTCGCCCCTGCATCCGTTCATGCGTCCATTCATGCATCTGTCTGTGTGTCCGTTCGTCCACTTATTCAACTATCCAAGTACCATCATCTCGCATCTTTGCATCATATATTCCCCGTATAGAAGCACCGCCATCCAGCGGACATTCCAAGGACTAAACGAGAGGTGGCACACGCACACTTTTTTACGGCTTCGTTTCGGGTCTACTTCCCACCTTCAACCACCTCGAGTTCATGGTATATACTAGTTCACTGTATTCATGGCACTGCGGCCCAACGCTCGCTATGCCTTTCTAAAAGCAAGGAGGTTACGCCGAGCGAGTATAACGTAGCAACTTTTTCCTGTCAGGTAGTGCTCAATGTACATGCCAATGGCTGCTAATGGGAAATGAGAGACAGGAGAATTCGGCTTTTACTTTCTTATGGATTGCGCTTCGTATCTACTTCGCACCTTTAACTACCTCGAGTTCGTGGTATATACTAGTTCATTGTATTCATGGCACTGCGGCTCAACGCTCGCTAAACCTTTCTAAAACTAAGGAAGTTAGACCCAGCGAGTATAACGTAGCAACCCTTTCTTGTCAGATAGTGCTCAATGTACATGCCAATGGCTGCTAATGGGGAATGAGAGACAGGAGCATTCGGTTTTTAGTTAACGCGCACGCCGCGAACTTTCTATTGTTCAACAAAGCACAGGAGAACTCTCCCACTGTCACCACCTTGCAGGTTAAAATGTAACACTGGTTACACACTACGACTTCGACTACGACTACGAGGGACGAACGGGTGCCGCTTTAAGGAGCTTCGCCCCTAAAAAGTCCGATTACTAAGGTGAACGTTAAGTGATTGCAAGTACTTAGGAGCAATTCTTAGACAATAATACGTCGCGCCTTTCAACCAAACTCTGATTGCAGCAAGTAAAACCAGATAAATTAAAGGTAATGTCAAGTTGATGAACAAAGTGCAGTAGCGCCTTGCGGGAAGAAGGAGAGAGAGATGGGCGAAAGGGGAAGGAGGGAGAGAGGGGAAGAATGCGAAATAGAGAAATGCTACGTCGACCTGTGTACGGTAACGAATGTGAGTGGTTGCGCTGACAGCTACAATGTAATACGTGTAAGGAGTCGACCAACTGCTTAGACAACAAATGTTTATCAACTTGCAACTATACTATCACACGGTTACTGGCGATGCAAAACAAGGTGACTTCCCTTCTCGCTTTCCTCAGTTCCGCTTCCTGTGCTCTAACGCGCTTGAAGTTTGTTTGACGCACACACACAATTTACGCTGCGAAAACTTCGTCGCGCAAGCCATGGTGAACGGCTTTCCTCACTTCTCGACCTCCTCCTCTTCTCGACGCACTCCATTCCTCTTGCCTTGCAGTTCGCTTTGCAAAGAGAGAAGTTATACGATCGCCATAACGGCGCTATACCCTGCCACCCGAGTGTCGGATGATTCAACGGTGCCACAGTCAACACAGATATGGGTTGCATAAGCTATGAGACAACGGAGCAGCATCGAGGTCCTGTCAGCTTACGTTTAGCCCATCGCCACGGGCCGCAGCAAGAGTGACAGCGCCCATAACGCCAGGACGCGAGTACAAGACAAAAAAAAAAGTACCAGCGCGATACTGGGCACGCCGACGATTGTCGTGACACCATATAGTTTATGCCTCATCTACCTGGACCACTGGCTGCGAACGGGAAAGAACGAGTTTATGTTGTTCTTCGTTGCAGTAGCGAAGACCACGCGTCTTTGGGCCAGTTCACGTATGCAATTGGTACTGCGCGAAAACAAAAGAACGAGAACGTATATACCGCAGCACGGGCGAGCGCGTTCGTGGAGAGGCCAGACGGCGAGAGTTCAAGGGGCCGCGGAAGAGACAGTGATGACTCGTCTAGCCAGCCAGGGCCTATTAAGACCAGCGCCGCGAGACGCCTCTTTCGACGGCCTCGGGAAGGCGCGCCCACGTCCTTCACAAAAGCTTCCTTGTCATCTCTAAGCTCCCGCGGCGGTGTGGCCTTGTTGGGAAATTCGAAAAATAAAGGAGCAGTGCGACAGGTGTATAGAAAGACCATTAAACAAAATGGCACAAAACACATCGCGAGCGCTCGGCAAGCTCTTAAACAGACCGTCTCGGCAACTTGACTGGGCAATGTGCATACACTCATAGCAACAGCAGCAGCATTCGGGTTGTCTTTCTCTTCTTTTTTTTCTCTCTCTCACTGATGGTTTTTCTCTAGACCGACCGCATTTATAAGGAGTGGCACCGTCAGCGCGTTCCCTTTAGGCACGAGACAGTCCGACGACGCGGAAGGCGATTCTTCCGCTTACGAAAAGTTGTCTACGACCATGGCTGACTACGCGGGCAAAGCTCCCCTCTTGCACGCCGTGATGTTTTTCGCCACGGTTTTGTCCTGGGTGTCAGCGGAACCCTTCTGCCTCGAAATCGACGGCCACAAGTACCGGCGCATAATCTGCCGAGAGTTCGAGTCTCCCGACGACTTTCAGAAACACGTACCGCGAAGCGAATCTCCCAAGGATACCTGGTTCCTCCTCATCGACAGTGCCATGGACCGCCTTCCTCCGGCCGCTTTCGCGGGTCTCAACGTTTCGGAGCTGGTTCTCAGCAACGTCGTCCTGAGCTCGCTGGACGCGCCGGAAGGCGGTGAGGGACCGCTTTCCGGGCTCGAGACCTCACTGCAGAAGATGGTCTTTCGCAGGGACAGTACGTTGCCTTCGTCCTGGTCGCAGCTGGGCAACATGACCGCTCTGCGAGAGCTACACCTACAGCGCTACCCGAATCTCAACCTGACGCGCGACTTCGGCAAGCTTCCGGCAAGCCTGAAGCTCGTGTTCGTGTTCGACTCATCGGTGAACAGGGTGGACGACGACTGGCTCGTGGATCTGACCAACTTGGAGACGGTCATCGTGCGCGTCACCAACCTGGCGGTCTTCACGCGCTCCATGCTTCCGAATCCTGCGCCCAGGCTGAGCACTCTGGATTTGGCGTGAGTGGTTCTTTTGCGCACGACCTTTCTTGTAATGGCCGCGCCAACACCGGTCCCACTTGACAAAGATTCAGAGGACAACGATGACTAAGTTAATCGATGGACGCACAAAATTTTAAAAAAGTATGTCAAGGTTATGCAGATTATAACATAATGTTTGCGATACTATGCGCAACGCGAGCCATCTAATGCGCACACAACTGATACAAGCAATTCAAACACGAGAACATGTTACTTGCGGGTAATCCTCGGCACTTAAAAGGGAGAGAGAAAGTTAATTGAAAGGCAGGGCTTTGTTAATTTATCAACGAGTTACCTTCTCCGTCTCCGATAATGTTGTGTGCTAGGACATTTAAATTGGTGATAACTACAAACAACGTCATTATAGGCACCTTCTGTTAGAAAAACTAACTAACAAACAAAGGGTTTCACCGCTAACCTAAGAAAACATACTAACTGACTACTTGGTATCGGTTTCTGCGAGACGCCTGTAGCAATTGTGTTCCCCTCAAACCATATGTCTACGCAGAACCAGGTGTACATCGTTTATTACCTTCAAATAAAGCTTACAGGTGCCAAATACGATGGCGACTAGCGAAAATAAGGTTTTTTACCCCCCCCCCCTTTCTCTTCTTCCGATTCTGAATGAACCGTAAAGCAGGGAATGTGTAGATTGTTCGCGTCTCAGGCGCATCAGTTTAACTAGGTTCGTCATACACAGGGCCGTCATAATATTGACATCTAGGATACCAGTGTATGCTCAGCTTCTATAGCAGTTAGTCGCCAATATGTCGAGCTTTTCGATTACCATAATTATGCGCGATTGCGCAATTCAGGTTAGCGAAGAAAGTCGGACAGTTTAATTATGTCTGTTTCAATGAGACACTAACTTAGGATGTAACAAACGCTTACATTTGAAAAATGTGTGCGTCATTAGATTCGACGAAAAAGCGCGAGTGGGAGGTCAAAGCCTTGACGTTACCCTCAAGAGACTGCTCTTCTGTATCTCCTAATTCTATTACGCTGAAATAGAGTGCTTTCTGCCGAATTCGACTTGTTAATTTTTTGTGCAGCTAATTCCTAAGCACACGAAGCCACCATGGCCGGAATTTCACTGCGTGTTGTTTTTGGGCTCGCCGACAAAACTTACAGAGTATCATATATCTTCTTCAATTTCCCTGCAGCGTGATAAATGCTGCACGTAAATAAGCGCTGTGTTAGTTAATTGGAAGGATGCTGAATATGCGGGCGGTGTGCTTTAGAGTGCGATCGAAAACCCATGGTGAAAACATCGTGTGAAATCGAATGGTTTTTTTTTTTTCGCAGTTTCATTCCACATGACGACAGTTATAGCGCGAGAACAGAGCGACGACAAAGAGACAAGAAGGACGGAAGTGCACGAAGGCACGAAGGATGAAGGTCTCTTTGTCGTTGTTCTGTTCTCGCGCTTTAACTATCGTCATGTCATACCAACTAGCCCAAGTTGCCCCACTTCTGTATACGTTCATTCCACAGACGAGTGATTGGTTATGCTTCGCGAGTTACCGGAAAATACAACAGCAGTAACGCTTTGCATCGCTTTGCTGTTGTACAAAAGAACTTTGTGAGCGCATCAGTAGTTACACACATGCAAAAAAGAAGAGGAAGTCAAACCTATGTTGGTAAGTTACGTGGATGTAATTCTGGCGGTGCACTCCTCAAGACTTAATTTACAAATTAGTAATAGTGTTGTGAAAATGACGTGTTTAGCTTTAGCTTTGTGACGCTGAGTGGGACGTATTATACCGAACAACGACATGCTAAAAAATTGGGTTGCATTACGCTAGTTCAGTACACCAAACAAGACTATTATAGTGACATTATCAACATGTTTATGTGCTCTACATTTGCAAAATTTCTGTTCTTGCCATTGTCGCTGGAGCGCAAAAATGGTGGAAAGGTGCTGCACTGCTAGAAAGAAGGCAATATGCTCCATCATAAAAATGTCACACATAGGTAACGCAAAGAAAGTACGAAAAAGATACATCGTAATTTGCTGCATTTCAATTATATTGTGGGAACTTGGGCTTCGCCCTATAAACATGCGATACGCAGCATTCGCTACCCCTTAAAAGAAGACAGGGACGTTTGAAAAATGACCACATGGGCAATTAGAACACTGCTGCACGTACGGGGTATCAAGCTTGTGTTATCTCTTCTTCTAGATCTCACAGAAATGTGTTTCTCTCTCTCTCTCTCTTTCCCTTTTTCACCAGCAAGAACTGATTCAGATGACGGTAAGTCAACAGCGATTGTTTTAGGTACTTCGCTTGATTGATTGATTTGTGGAGTTTAACGTCCTAAGACCACCATATGATTATAAGAGACGCCGTAGTGGAGGGCTCCGGAAATTTCGACCACCTGGGGTTCATTAACGTGCATCCATATCTGAGCACACGGGCCTACAACATTTCCGCCTACATCGGAAATGCAGACGCCACAGCTGGGATTCGATCCCGCGACCTGCGGGTAAGCAGCTGAGTACCTTAGCCACTAGACCACCGCAGGTGGGGCTGTTTCAGGTACTTCATCCAAGATGAGGCATGCGAAGTGCTTAGTAGGCTCTTCTTTACCCACGTCTAGCTCGCCCATTAAGCGAACAATTCACAAACCACAAAATTGTTCCGAACCAGGAGGTTTCGTGATTCGAATGCGAATCTCCCGTCAAGATGTCTCCGCATAGCTGGGATTCGTAAAGTGGTCATCGGATGCCTCGGCAATAAACTGCTCGGACGCTTTCGCAGAGATACCTGAGGCCGAGATCACGTACGTTGATTGCACGTTGCCTTTTCTTTTTTTCTTTTCTGCATATTTGTCTCACACAGCGAGAACCAGCTGGCAGCGTTTCCGCGAGGTATCGGCGAGGACCTTCCGGCACTGCAGTTCGTCAACCTCGAGGACAACAGGATCACGACCCTTGACGAAAAAGAGGTTGCACCGCTGCACAGAGACACCGTGCTTCTACGACTCATAGGTAACGTCACTCCGTACCGGCGCTTTGCTTTGTTCGCTTATTCGCCGCGCATGTGTAATGGATGCAAACATGTTCTTGTGTGCTAATTTATGAGGCCGTTCGGGTAAGCTAAATTTTGAGACTACGTGCTAGGAACGAGCTTGAAAAACAAACAAGCAACGTAGTCACTTTAAGAAAGGACGCGGGTTGATGTATGCGTCATTTCGAGATTTTCGTCGAGGGAAACTTTCGAGCAAGAAAACACCAAATGCGTCCTCAGGATAAGAGCACACGGCTGCTTTCTTTGCCATTGAGGAACTTAAAATTGAGACTGAAAGAAAACCTAGCATACCTTACTAAAACGTTTGGGCTTTAAATAGTTCCTTATTGGTAATCGACAATTTTACTCGATATATTAATAGAGAATGTATAAAAGTGATACCGCACAGAACTTAACGGAAATATAGATTGATTGCTGTGCCAATCTCGCGCATTGGGTACCGCACCTGTCATGCTCCTAGGACAACAACGACAACGTAAACAAAGATCCTCACGTATTCGCGTTTCAAGGCAGCTCGCGAATTGCACAACCAATGCTCATAGAAAAAGAAATAAAGAAAAATGCTGCACGACGACTGCGTACAGAAGCTATATTTGTCGGTTTGTCAGATTGCAAAACGCGCGTGCTTGATTAGTTAACCAGTCTACGCAGCCTAAAGTTAAGCTCCTAAATCCGATCCGCGAAGAACGACGGGGCCGCCTCCTTGACAGCCCGTCAGCGAGGAGCGACGCATTCGGTTATCATCAGCGTATCGTCTTTCCTTCCCGTCGGGACGTTCTCGCAGGCAACCCGATGTACTGCGACTGCCGGCTGTGGTTCCTTCTGGACTACACGGACAGATGGCACTACTTCCTGTGCCAGGCGCCCGAGATCCACCGGGGTCGCTACATCAAGATGCTGTCGGAACCGGAGCTGCCCTGCGGATACGGGCCGGCCCCTGAGCTCGGCATCGTCGACGAATCTTCACCGCCCGCGGCCAATGCTTCGCAGCCTCCCACCCAAGTCACGCCTTCGCAAAATGCCTCCGCCTCCTCCACTGCGTAATGAACAAAGTTGTTGCAAATATCAATTAAGCCAAACAATATTCGCGCAGAACCAGCTCCAGTTGCTGTCCGTGTGAGTACGAGAGGAACAACTCAACGATTTGACTGAGGGTGAATGGAGATTGCGTTGTTGTTATAACAGTGGACACGTGTTATATACTTGGAGGTGCTTTCTGTCGCATATATTTTCTTTATTCAAGGATAGTATTACTATTTAGCATATATTTATTATGCAGTCAGATCAGATCAAGTAACTTAATTGAGTGCCCTGCAAATTGCTGGTATGGGTCATGGACCCCACCTTGGTTTCGGCCAAGGCTTGATGGCCCTTGGCGGCTACCTCGGCTAGCTGGACGGCCCACAGTTGGTGCTCCAGGCCCTAGCTGAGCAACGCAGACTGCCAGCGCGCGCATGAGGCTGTCGTTGTTAGAAACTGCATTACGGCTATTGTTTATTAAAGCCAAGGATGTATTGTCTCTTGATCTTATTGCTTCACTTTTTCTTGTTAGCTTGGCACTTATGAAACGGAAAGTCTCGCCCACCTTCTCATCCCTCTTCCTTCTCATACGCTTAGTGCAACGCAATGAACATAATGAAATGGAAACATGATGGAGAGATTTGTTTAAGAGAATTTTATTTCTGAAAAATTATACATACACAGAAGACATTTATGTGTTACATTGTTACGTTCTCAAGACATTGCTATAATATATCCTTAATCTAAGTTCAAATGCACAACAGGAATTGTTTGTACCTGTAAACAGAAATTCTAACGTGTATAAAGAAAACTATGCTCAGAGGTACGTACAATTCATGAAAAGGAACAAAAAACAACATTAAGAAGTGCGTATAAGAATAAATAAATACTTATAGCAATACTAAACTCTGGCTCATTGAAATCCCAAACACTAGCCTACCTTCTCAGTAATGAATGCAAGGCATGACCACTTCTTCTTTCTGAGAAAAATAAATCGTGTTGACCACCACAGGAGCAAAGCTTCCTTCCAGAGAATTAATAACTGTTCGTTCAGATGTGTTAACATCATGGTTCTTAAGCGATGTAGCAGAGGAAACATGGCCCTCTGAGGGCGTTCCCGCAGGCATGCCAGTCCCCTCCGCTTCCACAATACAAAAGCACCAATACTCAACAAAAACAACTCATCAACTCAACAAAAATGTCTCTGTGCCACGACTGCCATTGCATGCTGACTTGAAGCATACTGGTCACCAAACGCCAGAAAGTACGTGCCACAGGACATTCGGAAAGTACATGATTTAGAGTTTCCGTCCGGCCGCACTGCGGACATGAGGCGGAGGGCGCCACACCCCACGCCGCTAGGCGGTCGGCCGTTGGCAACGCCTGCCCTTCTCTCAACCAAGTGAAATCTCGGACTTCCGCGGGTAGGGTCGTGGTTTTCATGAACCAGCGTCGACTTTAGCGGCATTTCTTGCGCTGATCATCGTGCTTATCTCTATAGTGAGTAAAAAAGAATGGGGACGAGCTCTGGACTAATCTATTGCGGTTAGATTAGAGCTGTACCACGAGTCAGGGGAAAATCCAGACAAATAACGCCAGCTCTCCATTAAAATAACAACATCTCCCCCTCCCGTCACAGCAAATTTGAAGGACCACTATGATATGCTCGTTGTAGTTACATTTCCTCTTAGCCGCAGCAGGTACTTACTGCAAGTATTATGCTTCTGCACTTACCGAATAGCGGACGATATAGTATATTGCCGCACGGTAGTACACAACAAAATAACCGCATTCCGGAGATAAAAATAAATGGTCACGGCCCTATTGCAGTTCAAAATACAAATATCGCATTTTAAACAGGCTGAGCTGCAAAGTGGTTCGCATTTGGACGTCGAAGACATATCTTTCAAATGCGCATAGTATGGCGCAGGGTTCCCCTACAGAGGGGAGGGGAGAGGGGGTCATCGCAGAGCAGTCCTCCCTATTAAGTCAATGTATGGAGCAGACTTCGCGCTTTCCTTATTATGCGAATAAATTGGTGCCCCCCTCCTTACGGCTTTCTATGTGCACGCCTATGCTGATGCGAACGATAGGCTACACCCAACACGCCATCTACGCCACCCTCGTGAGCGCCGAAGCACGTCTACAGCGTCTACACTGCCGCCAACGCCATCGGCACGTTCGTCTCTTGTTCGTCGAAAAAAACCATCATCATTGGTCGGTTCGTTCCCAGCACACACTATGTCATTCGCCCTGCCAACGCATGAGCGACAATGAAATACAATTGTCGCATCGCGCATCATCGCAAATCGGCGTTGCGCCCGGTGGAAAAAGTGATTACGGGGATTGATGGCTGGCCAGAAGGTCGTGGGTTCGATTCAGGCCGTGGTCATCGCATTTCAACGGAGGCAAAACGGTAGAGGCCCACGTACTATAAGATGTCGGAGTGCGTTAAAAAACACTGGAGATAGTCGAAATTTCCGGAACCCTCCATTACGGCCACCCTCATAATCGTATACCGTGGTTTTTGGGACGTAAAAAACTCGAGATATTTTATTATTTAAGCATAAAACATCCGCGTTATTGTTGCTACAGAAAATACAGCCTAATGATAAGCAATACGTAACAACAATCGCTGAGGCTGTTACGTGCCAAGACCGAGGTGTGATGATGAGCAGCGTCTAAGTGGGAGACTAAGTGGGAATTAACATCGACCACCTGGTATTCCTTAACGTGCTCCTGAATTTAAGCACAGAGGCGTTCTTTGCACGCTAAAAACACCAGATGGTCCAAATATTCGGAGGAGAGCCGATCACTACGGCGTTTCTCAAAATCATATCGTGATTCTGGGACGTTAAAAGCCCCCATATTATTCACTCAATACTTTATTTCCAAGCTAACTTCTTCATATATTCCAGGTTAGTAGGTAAATTTTACCTCGTTAAAAGGACGTCTTAAAGACGTTGATATCTATGGTAACTTCCAGGAAGAATTACGTAAAATTACGATTTTATAGTTAAATCCATTTTTTTCGTTATAGCCAGTCCTGCTAACGAGGTTAGATGCGTACACAGCGTACCCTCGAGTGAACTGAAATATCTGGTGATGATCAACAAGTTTTTATCTAAGTTAGCTTCTAAATTATATACAGATAAATTTTTGCTTGGAATCGTACGCTGTCATAGCTAGGAGTTGATTGCTGGTACGCGCAGTTTGAACGTCACAATAATATGGGAAGTTGTCAAGATGGAAACATATATGTGAAAGGCTGTATTGCATTTCATTACAAAAACGAAGCCTGGATAATGTTGTGCTGTCCATCCACGAGCTGTCTTGCACTCGTGTATAGTCTAAAGGTAATAACTCTCGGTCAAAGTTACGTGAACTATAGGAATGGGAATAATTTTGCTTCATGACTTGAATACAGTTCATTCTGCTGCGGATATAACGCGGGATTTTAGACTAAGTAGCTGATAAGCATAATTTATGATTAACAGAAGTGTCGTCGGTTCTCCCATGGTAATGAAACGCTCACGTACGAAATTCTGGCACTAAGCAAACAGTGTAAAAAAAAGTCTACGAAGGTTTCTTATTGTCATTGGTTATGTAAGTACTTCGGGATTGAAGGAAGTGATTGCATATGAACAAGGTCATTGACGCGGCTAGGAAAGAAGACCACTGTTTTCCTTGTCGCTCTATAGCACAGACACTATATTGAACAGCTTCGTATCCTGGCACGCATACCCGATTGTTAACAGAGCAGAACACGCCAGACGACATGATCTAAGCCCTTCGCAACAACTCGACCCTTCGTCAGGATTTCAACCGACGTGCGAAATCGCATACGACGGGTTCGTTTAGGAATGACCGGCCTCACAAGAAAGAGGAAAGAGGGGGTAGTGAGAGAGAGAGTATGAAGCAGAGAAGGCATGGAGGTTCACTTTATCACAGTGTCTTGTTCACTACCCTTTACCGAGGAAAGGGACAGGCAGCGTAAAATATAAACGCAAGGAGAGAGAGAGAGAGAACTTACACACCACCCGGGTTCTGACACTGGGGTATACGCAACGTGTGCGGCGGTGATTAGGGCATCAACCACCGATCCTAATATATACTAAATTTAATTTGCGAAGCACTCGGCAACCTATTTCGACGACACGGCAGTCGTCCGCAGCTGCGAGACGGCACCAGTGCAGCATCGTGTCTGTCGATCGTTCACCGACAAGGGAGCGAACTGTGCCTTTTCGGGAGCAACCATAGGCAGAGAGTTTTCATATTTCCGGAGAGGGCGTAAGGGACTTGTTCTTCGACATTTCTTCTCTCTCGGTCGCTATATATATATTCATACGACTAGCATGTACTTTCAGAAAAAATTCACTGAGCTATCTATAAGGTATGTAAGAGTACAAGCATTTATGGGAGCGCTTCCTTCAAAGTGGTAAACTCTAAATCGATGTGCACTTTACGCTGTGTAGACATCACTGTGTTCTATTAATGGTTTACCTACCAACACAGTGCTCAGCGCAAGCAGTAAGTCGGCCAAGTTCTTCAGAGACTGGGAAGACACCGTACTTTCAACGCACTGCACGCCTGCATGCCGTATATCACCCGGTGGCTACACATTTTAGTGAAGCCGCGGGATTCGGCTTTCCAGCACGCAGACGCAAAAGCCCTACTGTGCACAAGAAAAACTAAAGACGAGATGGCGCCGCAGTGGAAGTTTCCACGCCGGCCTCAGGCAGGAGCGTGCTTTGTTGCCGTCGTCTATTTGCCGCAGGAAGGCGATAGCTCCGCGCGTCGATCGATTGCGCGAGCGAAACCCATCGTTCCGAATCCCTTGTGCAAAACTTGCGCCGCGGGTGTAGCACCTGCTTTCGTCGACCGCTGCATCTTGTTTGCCTTTCTTCGTCCGAGAGACGAGGACAAAATGAAGAGATTGCGGCCCGCACCCGTGGATCATCTGACGGCCGCAATACGCAGTTACAGAGGTCAAAGACCGGTTTCTGTTTGCCAGCAGCACGTTTCCATAAGAGCCGGTTCTGCGATCTAGTTGCGTGCACAACTATCAAAAACGCCTCTGACTGCTGATAAGCGGGTCAATGGAGCCTAAAAGTGGACGCTCAAGGGTGCTTCCTTTAGTCCTTTCATTATTATTTTTTTGCTTGCGGCAGGTTTCTTGGATGTAAACATCGAGCGAGTCTCAAAGGGGTGTGGGAAGAAGTGGCGTTGCGATTCCGCACGTTGCGCATACCGTGCTGGCAGTGGAATCAGAACTGGTTACCAGCTTTACCGGCAGATGCCTAATCTCTACTAAAGAAATATTACCTAACCACGCATTGCAGGGACAACCGTGGCTACTTTGGTTTAGCGATTTATCTCAGTACGCGCGCGCCTGCAGCCGCGCAGAGCAGTTAAGAAGAAAGCCTCCCAAGTTCACCTCACTCGCACTCGGGCAAGCCGGGAAACAGGTGTGAGCCAAGTGGACCCGTCTCGGGGTTAGTGACACGGTCGGAGACCTCGTAAAGAAAAGAGAGGGTGGGGTGAGCAACGCACAATCAAGAGCCCCAAAAAACCAGTCCTGGAAGGGTCCTCTCTTAGGGCTCGGACGTGTTTAGTCCGACACGCGCACATCCCGTGCATATAAAGCCCGTCTCGGTCCCATCGGCGTTCACATTCTCGCCACAGGGCCCGCCGCAGACTACCTTAGTAAAATCTAAACAGCCCAGCACTTTAGAGTCGGCCACACGGAGAGCACCGTCATGACGTCGCCTATTTTAGGGCTGGCCATAGCGCTCGCCGCCTTCGCCAGCGTTGCCGTCGGGGAGCCTTCGTGTACGCAGACAGAGGTCGGCAACGTCCGCAGGGTCGTCTGCAAGCACTTCATGTCGTCCGAAGACTTCGCTAAGTACGTTAAGCGCGGAGTCGGAGAGGACCTCACCAAGAAGACTTGGTTCAAGCTGGAGGACAGTCGTCTGGAGCGGTTCCCCGACAGGAGCCTTCGCCGACTTGAACATCTACAAGCTGGCCTTCTACAACGTCTCAGTCGTGGACTTCGCGCAGCAAGGACCCACGGGAAATCCTTTTGAGGGACTCGAAGACACGCTCCGTGAGGTCGTCTTCCACAGTGGAAGCACACTGCCTCCTTCCTGGTCGGTCTTCCAAGGCATCCACAAGCTGGAGGAGGTCTGCATCGACGACTACGAGAACCTGCGGCTGACCACGGACTTCAACAAGCTTCCTAAGACGGTGAAGAGCATCTACGTGACCAAGTCAACTGTGGAGCACGTGGACCCCGACTGGCTGACGTCGCTAGAGAACCTAGAAGCCCTGGTGCTGCGCAAGACCAGTCTCAAGGTTTTCTCCAGACGATGGTTGCCTATGCCAGCTCCAAACTTCTTCCTTCTGGATTTGCCGTAAGTTCTTAAACGTTTTACCTTAACCTCCTGAATTTGCGCACGTTCCCGTTTGCCTGAGAATGTGGCCATGCCAGGGCTGAAACACATTCATGTGGATGACTAGAATAAATTAAGGTGCCCGTTAAATAGTTCGTAAGTTAGTAAATCAAAACGAATGATTAGAGGAGTTATTTTTGTATGTGTAGCTTACTTATGTGAATACAACTTCTTATTTAGGATCCTTATGTGGTTTCACTAAACTAAACACTTCTCAACCTACTTCTCACTTCTCAAACACTTCTCAAACACTTCTCAAAATCTCAACCTATTATATTATTCCACAAGTTTTTTACTTTCACTCCTAGATCTTTTTTAAACCCAACCTCTGGTGAAGAGCGCGGGCCTATGGCCAATAACGAAATTACGCAGCAATATACAATTTCAAGCAGTTCGTGTAACCTACAGTACAAGCACCTATCATGCCAAGTAGACCTTGAGAAATTGCAGCAGGTGTACTGAGAAGTGTCGTTAACCTTCTGCATGATAGTAGCGTTCAGACAAATCAGAGACGCCAGCGTACAGCCAACGTTGTCAGATTTAGAAATGATCTAGCTGCTGGAATCCTGACAAATCTTGCCGTTTTCATTCCAGTGACAACCAACTGGAGGCCTTCCCAGAAGGACTGGCCGATGACCTGCCTCGTCTCAGCGTCGTCAACCTTCAGAGGAACAAGCTGACCACCGTAGACGAAAAGGCTGTGGCTCCGCTCAAGGACAAGACCGTATTCGTCAACTTCGCCGGTAAGCTTTCGATGAACAAAGACTTACCTTTTGTTCTTAGAAAAAAATATATTGTTTTTATTTACTCACGCAGAAACCTTCGGCAACTCAACCTTCGAAATGTTTATCTGCCATGCGTCATGCACAATTCTATAGATTGTTATTAGCTCAAAGTAAATTGCTCACGAAGAAGCCAACCAAATGCATCCTTTTCGATTTCAGATATTGTTTAAACTGAATTTCTGCAGTATTATACCTAGGCCCTCATTTTTTCAGGCTGACTTCTCAAAAATGTCAATGTGTATGGTAAATCACGCTGTTTTGTGAAGTAATAACGCTATCGAAGCAGTTGTTTCTTTTTACAATAATTTATAAAAACATCAGTATGTTCTTATAAATCAATTCGGTTTATGAATAGTGGCTTCAATATCTGTTTTTTATATTCGCACGGAATTCATTGTCATTGCAGTTGGTATATTTACGGGGAAAATATAACACGAAATCATTACTGCGCAGCTGCAATTCCGCAGTAGTGATGCACGTAATATAAACAATTCTTTAGAACTGTTTTTTGGGGGAACGTAATTGTTGATGAAGAAGTTTAACATTGTCATGCGAGAAATGTACCAAGAAAATAGAGGGAATGACAAAGAATATTTCCAGTTTGTTAGGAGAATATAAACATGATTGGACGGCATAGAAAAAACGCGGAGAGGGTGGCAGGTCATATAAAATACTCCGGGCGCTGCATGGTAATCAGTGTTGAGCTTTCTGGGCACAGTACTGCCGAAAAACTGTGTCATTCTACTTAAATCTTTCATTATAATGGGCTAAGGAAGAATACTTTCTGGCTGTTTCGAACAATAAACACTTATTCTTCTTTCTACTTACGACATTTCGTGTAAAAAATATTCTATATTATATTTACCTGCAGGGTGAGCAATAACACGTTTTTTTATTTTTTGGTGGAATAAACTGTACTCAATGTTCGCACTTATTTACTCAAAATTTCACTAAAGCCTGTGAGCGTGTCACATGTCCAGCCACGGCAACTATGGGCTACAGGAAAGAAAAGCAGCTATCTGCATCGTAAGCAAGAGTCGTTCTGCTCAACTAAAGCACGCTAAAAATACCACAATACCGTGTCACGTAGAGTTACTGTATATGCTCTCTTACACAGTGACTCTACTGATACTCGGACACGTCCCAAAGGTGCTTAGTGAAAAAGTATTTTCCCGATCGATGAGTACATACAGGCAGAAAGTACGTATACGACAGTAGCACCACGTGTTCAAGCAAGACCTGAACTTATCTTTAATGAAAATTCATATTCGGCAATGTTGGTAATAGCTCTTCGAAACATTAGAGCGGTAAAAGAGACATCCACATAGGACGAGAGTATTAATAGAGATCAAGGACATATATAGGGCATTCACATATAAAGGGAGATTAGCGCATGTCTTGTGTTTCCCTGGCTTGTGTGAATGTTTTCTTCTCGCACTTTGACGTTCCCAAAAGCATCGCAAATTCTTCAGTCACAGCTGTCTAGGAAGAACCAGTGTCTGTTGGCTTTTCTTTTTTTTACCTAAAAGCTGAAGCGTCCAGCGGATTTGACAGCTGTATGTCTGATCTCTCACTGCAGACAACCCTATGCACTGCGACTGCCGGCTCCGCTTCCTGCTGACGTACACGCACCGGTGGCACTACTTCCTGTGTCGCACCCCGCAGTCCCTGTTCGACCGCTACTTCCACCGGCTCACCGAGGGAGACCTGCAGTGCAGCGCCACCGCTCCTCTTTCCTCCACGTAGACGACGTCCACGACCAAGACCACCACCCGCTTGCGCTGTGCGCAGTTCGCCAAAGCACCGCCACACCACCACTGTCCCGGTACAATTCCCGACTTGACGTTGAGCGTCACGCGACGGAACTTCCTTCGTATACATTGCTGTCCCCTTTCTGCACCGTGTTCTTCGGTCGCCCATTCGAACCGTGTTGTCGTACCTGTACGCCCTTAATAAAAAGAGCCCTGTCCGTGCACATGTCGTAGACCTTTCTCGATTGATGAGCTGCTCTGCTCACCTCTGCCTCACTGTGCGGGGGCGCCACGTACCACGGAGGCACGACAGGTGGATGTTACCGTACTGTACGGTTGCAAGTAGTCAGAGATGGAATTAGCTTTCTGCTTGCACAATAAAATGAGAGGCAACGTCTGCAGGGTGTTTGTACAAAAACTTTCTCTACTTATGAAACTAAAATGGGCAGCGTGCATATGCACGTCGCTACTACCTATAATCTCATGGTGATAAGTTGCCTAGGTGGCAGATGCTCGTGGGTGCCGTCCAATTGGCAAATGCAACAACAACAACAACAACAACAACAACAACAACAACAACAACAACAACAACAACAACAACAACAACAACCATGACGACGACGACGACAACGACAACAACAACAAGGTTTACACAGCACGGTGTGACGGCGCATGCGTATACGCACTGATCCACAAGGGATCGTTGGTATAGCATAGCTGAATGTGTCGATATGGCAAAATAAAGCTTGCCTCCCAGTGCTGACACATTGGGTAGTTTGAAGATCTCAAGCCTGTTGGCGCCGTGATTCCACCATCGTGTTCAGCTATCTCCTCGTCAACTAAAAGAAAACACCAACGGCTTCATGGGAAAGAGAAGCCTAATAGGAGGAGAGATGGATAGGTCGTCATGATGTGAAACTCATCTGGCCGGCTACTCTGCGAGTAGGAAAAAGAGGCAATGTGACAGCAGGGGTGACAAGCAGCATGAGTATGGTACCGCACATGTTATGTCAGTCTACAGAAAGTAAGGATGCTTATCACAATTACACTCTTGGCCAAAGCAAAGTATAACAGGATTGCTCCATCGTAACTATATACATTAAGAGCGGTAGCACACATTTCTTTGTTCCTTTGTTTGCTTCTCTCTCTAAGAACTATAGTGCCTCCCGTACTTTGTATTCGAGGCACAGACCTTCTTTGCTTACTCCTCACGCACCGTGACAGCTACACTATAGGTCACGAATACGATTCCTGGGTACTTCAGTAAACAAAAGCGATGTATAAAGTCGTTCCTGAGAGTCAGGCTCCTGTTTTTTGAGCTGAACCAAAATGGAGAAACGATGACAACGCAACGCTATCGTGTGTTTATGCGGGACGTTATTGATCGCTTCCTGCTAAGTACACAACTATGACCGTGCTATCAATAACTGAATGAGGTATAGAAGCACGCTATAAGTGTTTACTGAATGTGGGGGAAAATGTTACTTCTACACGTTAGGCAATCCAAATATGCGTGCGTTAAGTGGAGTGCCATTAGGGTACGCCTCTCAACTGCCTATGGCGTACACCTTGATCGATGAGTAGTTTTGTTGCAAAAACATCCCCATTCTCATCAGCATATTTTTATGGCCCCAGCAGGACGAACGTCTGTGTCAGCGACATCCATTCTTCCTGTACTGTGCGAGCTGATTCTACATTACGTCTGCTAATTCCTTAATTTTAACACCCCGTACCTAACCCTGTGCCGCCCCCGGCCACAATGGCGAACGCATGGAGGGGAGAGGTGTAGGCAGGGGGCGACCACCCTTTCATTGTCACCTAGATAAAGGGGGTGCAAAGTCTTTTAATACATTGGCCCACTTAGGTGCTGCATGCGATAAATATCATGGGAAACACTAAGCTCGCCTACACTCGAACGCTTCCTCTTGGTATCCACTTCGTTCAACGAACTGACCATCGGTTATCGTTTCCACGCGTCATGCTGCCTGCACCCAGGTCCACTTTTCTCCTTTGAGGCAACACGAATATCAGTTACCCCAGTTCGTTCGCTTATCCATTCTGCTCTCTTCCTATCTCTTGATGTTACGCCTATCATTCTTGGTTACATCGCCTCGTCCTTCTGAATTTTCGTTGTTGTTCACCAAGCTTGCGCCCCATATGCAAGCACCGGCAAAGCGCAACGACTGTGTGCGCTTTTCCGCTTTAGGAACCGGGCTAAGTTTCCAGTCGAGATTTGGGAATGGCTACACCATACGCGCTCCAGCCCATCGTTATTCTTCGGTGAATTTCGTTTTTGTACAGCCTAATCCGAAGTAATTGGCTTGAATATACGAACTCTTGCACTGATTCTAGGGGCTGGTTACGAATTACGTGTTCTAGCTCTCTTGTCAGACTGACGAGGTTTGCCTCTGTATTTTGCAATTTTTAGCCTCATCTTAACCATTTCCATGTTGATACTCATAATCATTTGTTGCAATTTATTTTCATCATCACTGAAGAGCAATCTCATCAGCAGACTGCAAGTCACTGCGATTATGTCCGTTGATCTTTGTTTTTATCTTTCCTGAACGCTAACGTTTACAACAACATTTTGTGCGGCCAAACAGCCAAACGCAGATCCGACATCTACACTGGCCCACACTTGTTCCACATATTAGGGTATATATTCTCTGTTTCCGACTAAGATTCCTAGTAAATGTGTTCTGATGTTATACTTAAAGAAGTGCATGCTTGTAGCCTCAGAATAACATAGTGTAGGCTGGAACAGATAAAAATAATGTGCTTGTTTTTCTACTGGCGATTTCTCTGGAACCGAACCGACTTATCGCATTTGTGAACTCAACATGTACACTACATAAAAGTATTCGACGCTGTTATATAGAGCTCGCTTGATAATTCTAAAAAAAAACCCTTTTTGCGTTTTAATACAAGGTGAGACTGAGAGGCTCATGTGAATTTTATGAATGGAAGACAGCCACACACGCACTACCTTTTCTAGCAAACTTGGCAATCTTTTCGCACCGTATACACGACTAACTCGAGATACAGAACAAAGGTGTTGTCACAACGTCAACACTCGTATCAGTGTGCTGTACGCATCTACTTCTGAATATAGTCGACACTCCTTCACGCAGTTTTTAGCAAAAGGACTTCCTTCCGCTCGTGCGTTTGTTTTTACTCATGCAGATAGGCCGGAGTTCAACGACTCGTCAACACGCAACCCAAGAACACCCACGGGGTCGGCTCTTATCACGGTTTCCTTTAGGCGGAAGCCAAATGTTTACTAACAGCCACGTACTCCTGCAGCGAGCTCGTATACCAGGCAGAATTAGCGGCGTGTGCCAGGCGGTCGAGTCATGCTGTCCGGTGAACTGCTGGTCGCCCTTGTGGCATTGGCCTTCGCGGGGGCAGAGCCAGCGTGCGACGAGTCGCTCAGACAGTCCCATCGGGTGCATCAGTTCTACTGTTCCGGCTTCGACAGCCCGGAGCAACTATGGAACGCCGTGCCGAGAGACCTGGACTTGCCCAAGACGAGACTTGTAGTGCGGGACAGCGTCCTAGAATACTTCCTTCCTCAGACGTTCGCCAGAACCAACGCCACGTACCTCAAGCTCAGCAACGTCACCGTCGGGAGATACGTGCGAGGCTGGCTGCAACGGTACTATCCTTTCGAGGGTCTCGAGGACACGCTGGAGGTCTTCGAACTGGCGGACGACAGCACGTTCCCGAGCAGCTGGAGCCTGCTGAGCGACATGCGCTCGCTAACAGAACTCAGGCTGGTCAACATGAACGGCTTGAGACTGTCGAGCAAGTTCGCCCAGCTGCCGCGTACACTGAGCCACGTGGCGGTGATAAGGTCGACCATAGAGAGCGTCGATGACGATTGGCTGGCGTCACTGACGAACCTTGAGAAGGTGTCTGTGATAAAGTGCAATTTGATGAAGTTCTCGCGCATGATGCTTCCGCGTCCGGCTCCCAAGCTGTGGAGACTCGTACTCGAGTAAGTGGAAACCTTACCATAGGAGGTTCTAATGAAGTCCTTCTTTAAAATTAAGAACTTAGACACCGTAAAAACAATAGCTTATTTTTGTTTGCATGGTACTTTTATGAATGAATTTCAATCCACTCATAGGTGCACCACGGCATCCTTTTAGACCTAACTCACTACGGTAACAATGTAAACCGCAGTATATCAACTTTCGTTTCGCATAAAATCGTTCATATTTCTGGTCTGACCATTCGCTTAGGTCCACGTAACCTATCTTCTGGGAATATCGCCAGAAGTATTTTGTAGTGATTACACACCACAGCTCTATACTGGCGATATTATTTTCCACCTCCGTTTCTTTCTATGCTTGTCCATTTTACATTCCACTATTCCCCATACCCGTGCAAGGGTGCAGAGTAGAGAATCTGAAAATCAGCTCAGGTTCCCTACCAAATGAGAATGTGCCCTTTCTTTTGGTGTTCCATTTGAACAATGCAATTCTTCACCATGTCTGACGTGGGTTTTCTTGTTGTGCAGCCACACCAACATGACTTCGTTACCACTGGACTTTGCCGAAGAGCTCCCGAAACTTAACGAAGTTGGTCTGCGACACAACTTCATTACATCTTTCAGAGCCGCTACGCTTTTGCCATTGGCTCGAAACGGAACAAGAGTCAGCTTAGTAGGTGCGTCGAGAACGTTAGTTCATTTGTGTGGCTTTGGCATGCTTATTTCTTATGTGCGTGACGGAACAAAGTGAATAAGAACGTAAAGAATAACACAAGAAAACATATTGAACGATGGTTGGTATAAGGACCTATCGTAGATGGGAGTAAAGTGTGACAGACACGGGCTAAGTGCTGTCTGTTTTGTGTCCGTGTCAGTACACATTACTCCCTCTAATACGACAAAAAAAAAAAAGATGGCTCGCGCTCCAAGTAAGTCACAATGGTGTATGCAAGAAATAAGCTTGCACGTTTTTGTGCACCAACTACAGCAAAAAAAAAAAACACAGACGGAGGCTACTTCGCATATGTACAGCACGGTCCACTGGTAGAGAGAGCACGTGAGTGCGTGACCAGGGTTGCGTGGAGAGTTAACTGCAGGCAAGATTTCGAATTACGGCACCTGCGCATTGATTCATCAAGGTCGTGTGTGCCCAGCATCGTCTGCTACTTCCCCGTCCATTCACTCGGCGTGCTCTAGTGAGCCATGACCCTTCACCCTTTTTGTTTTCGCACTGTAAAACAACTGATACTAACTTGGCCATTCGCTTCTTTTTAAGTCGATATTTCATGGTCACAATAATGAAGTTAAAATGTTCACGGGATAGACTTTAATAGCCTCATCTGTTACCAAGTATGGACACTTGCAGGGAGCAGTATGTTAAAAAATATGACGGCCTTGACGGTGAGAGCTTGCGAAAAATTGCGGCAATGAATTAAGTCCCAAATATTTTTGTGCTTGCTGTAAAATCAAGGAGCAGCAGGCAGAGTCAAAACTAGATAATTTGCACCGCGAAAAAATCACAGCATATCCCACTACTTGTATTTTCATTTGATTGAGTGATATGTGGGATTTAACGTACCAAAACCATCATATGATTATGAGAGACGATAGTGGAGGGCTCCGGAAATTTCGACCACCTGGGGTGGTCTCTGCATCTCTGGGGTTATTTACCGTGCACCCAAATCTGAGCACACGGGCCTACAACATTTCCGCCTCCATCGGAAATGCAGCCGCCGCAGCCGGGATTCGATCCCTCGACCTGCGAGTCAGCAGCCGAGTACCATATAACCACTAGACCACCGTGGCGGGGGTATATTCATTTGTTTTACTTGTGTTTCCATTTGCATGTTTCCGTGTATGCTTCATTTGTGTGTGCAGTTGTGTACATGTTGTCTACCGCTTATGTTACCCCCCCCCCTCCTCATATGTGTGTATTACCATGCGTGTGCCGCAAAGTGAACACCCAGCGCTGCTAGGCGAGTGCAACGGTGCGAGCGCGCGCAGAATGATATACAAACTGCACAGCTGGGGCGGAGAGATAAACGGGAGAGGAGAAATGAATCGGAGGCAGCACTCTAGCACCTCCTCTACACCGCTTCCTCGCAACGCCTCACGCTCACGCGAGGAGAGGGCCCTCGGACCCTCATCGACCGTCCGCGCCCTCACTGCGCATGCGCCAACTCTCCTCCTCTCCCCGCGTGAGAGCGAGGAGGGGGGAGAGTTGGAGCATGTGCAGAAAGGGTGGTCACGCCGCACACCGGAGTGAGCTCTGCGATATGCTGCTTCGAATCTGAAATACGGAAGCGCATTCCAACGCTTCCATGCTCCAGACGGAGAAGTAGCAGACGAAACGGCACGCGCCGACCTAATAATTCTCTGCGCAGGCACCGCGTTCACAAGTCTCGCGGCCATTTAGCGCCGCGCTGCCCGGCGGCCACGAGCTTCCATGTTCCCTCTAACAGTGGACCGTACTGCACAGTCCTAAAGGATTTGCCGTAAACTTAGTAAACTCAAGGATTTGCCGTAAATAAACTAGTTCTGTTTATTTATTGCTCACATGAGCATCGTTACATATTCTAATACCGTGTTAACGCATATTTCCAAGCTTCTTCGGCTTGTATGTGCAATTAAGGATCATAAACTACTCAAAACCATTATGTGATCGAGGACAGTTGAACAAGAAATGTAGCCGCAACCAACGTGTCTACTATGCAATTTGTCTACGTCGGAGTTCCTGACAAAGACGAGTTTTCTTTTCGAAAAGTGTTTTTCTGCTAACTGGCATAGTTAGTGGGGAAGCGCGTTCAACTCTCTCCCCTCCCCCGAATTTGCAATTTTACATACAGATGAATATACACGTACGCATACAAGCACATGCGGGAACCTATATAAAGAGTTTTTGAAACCCCTACAGAAGATAGAAATTGTGCCACCAATTTTTAAACTGTCGGACCACTCTGCGAAATAACGTTTTTTTTTTTTCTTCTGGCAATGCCCTTGTCGCTCCCCATTCCTTGTTCGATTACACTTCATCGCTCCAAGCTTCCATCTTCCTCAGAAATGATCTTATTTGAATTTCCTAAATTTTTTTCTAGTGAAACACTCACGCTAAGCTCAATCAGTGTCTTTTCTCTCATTCAGTATCACTTTTCTTCTCCCTTTCCCCTTCCCACTGCAGGGTAGCCTACCGCAATGAGCTCTGGTTAACCTCCCCGCTTTCCTTCTTATTCTCTCCCCCTCTCTATTTTCTTTGTTTTCTTACCAATTTTTCCACAGACGAAAGGTAGTGTATTCAGGTAACATATCTGTCACGTTCTTCTCCTGCTTCAGGAAATCCCTTGACTTGCGACTGCCAGGCTGCATTTCTCCTCGACCTGCCGGAAGACTGGCACTACCCGAAGTGCGCCGCTCCCGATTTCCTTTTGAACAGGAACATCAAGGAGCTGACGACTGGTCAGCTCGGCTGTGAAGCCATCGCCGGAGGTCCTTCGGCTGAATCGATCTCTACGGAAGAAGGGAACGAGACTTCTTAGCCCGTATACACGTAACGCTGGCTAGAGTATAAGTTGGCGTATTAACGCTGGCGTATTAATAAAACGAACGCGTCTTAATAAAAGAAAGCTTAAGCCAGGAGCGGCGTGACTTTAATGTACCGCCAAACGCGCGGTATGCCGGCTGTCGAGTCTTACAACGACGAGCAGTTACTAATTTCACTTATAAGTTGAGCAATCGCTACTGAAGCTGGATCACGTGGCTCTTCGCGACTGCCCTTGCCAGAGCTGCAAGCGGGTAGATAACCGAAACGCCTTCATGGACAAGAATCCTTTTGTACCGAAACACTCTTAAATTTCCCCAGGCCTAGAGCCTTATATGAAGCAAAGGCCCTTTAGCGAAGAAATTTGAGCAGCCATTCCACCCTGTGAACGTGGGCGAGAGAAGCTACACAGCCCATGGAAACTGATGAATTTCGAACCATAGTGGATCACACAGCTAGCAACTAACATCCGACTACCTGTAAAAAAAAAAAAAAAGCTTCTCTTGCAATCAACGTATGCTCTTCTATTATTCTTTTTTTTTGCATTTCAACTGCGTGCATCTATCATGCCCGTCTTGCATGACCTGCCGCATTCACCTCGCGTTTCATGCTCCATCTTAATTGGTGTTCCCCACCCGTTGCTTCCCTTTTTTATTGATGAGCTGCATAAGGAGATGTTGGTGCACAAGTACACAAGTAAGGCACTGTGAATACTGAACATGCATCTTGAGACAGAAAAAAACAACAACAAAGAGCAGTACATGGAAATAAACACACTCACACAAACACATATCAAACAACACTGTCACAACGTAAATTAAATTGTCTGAAAGGCAAATAACAGTGTATGTGATCATGTCTCTGGTCATCATGGAATCGAATCGGCTAACGTAGTAGTGAAAACCTTGTCTGGTCATTAAGGAGATGAATCTGCACGTGTGAACAAAACAGTCAACAACTCAGAACACACCCATGATGCATCCCATGTGACAGTGCATATAACAAGGGAAGTACAAATTTATGGGCTCTTTTTTTCTGTTAGACACAATATTATTGAGAACAGACAAGCAAGCGAGGAAAACTACAGGGGATGTTATTTGTAGTAATTGTGAAGTAAATGTGAAGAAATTTGAATCGACGAAAACATAACTTACAGCAGGATTGGAACCCGCGATCTTTGAATAACGCGTATGATGCGATTACAATTACTTTTAACGGCATTCTCTATACTTTCTCCGGCATATTGTCTATTAGTTCTCATTAGTATAGTGCATTGGCGCACATAACAACTAGGACGTACAGCCGTGCCCACGTATGTGTATAGAGCGCTCGAGCAGCCGGTTTTTGCTCGGCGGGCCGAAACCTTGGGGCAGTTTCGGGCTATGAAGTGGTGTATCAGGAGCATGTGCGGCCTAGTTGTCAGGCTGACCAAGTCATAGCCTGGTACTGCCCCAAGGTTCCGCCCGGCAGAGCAAAAACCGGCTGTTTGCGCGCTTCACATAGATGTGGCCGTGGCTGTACATATGTAATATGAACGTAATCTTCGTTTCCAGTGGACTAGTCGTGAGTAGTGGACCGGATTTGTCCAATTTTTCTTACTTTTTGCCCGGTGACGATTTCTTTATATTTTAGTGAACACGTTGAGAGCGGCAGGATTTCGTTTAGTTTCACTGCCACATGCCTACATGCGCTATGCAGTTTCTGCACACAAACGGACAAACAAACAAATTCATTAGTCTTATGCATCTTCGCTGTAAAATAGAAACCTTACGGAATCTCCTTCCCAGTGGAATGGCAGAGTCGAGCCCAACTAAAGTTGGGCACTCAGGGACACGCGAAAATTCGACACAAAATTTGACAAAAATTACACAATGGCACAAATATCGAAACAGTAACTCCAAAACGATAACTCCAAAAAGAATGTTTGCAATCAAAGTTGTTACGTTATGCGTTGTGCCTATCTTCAAAAATTGTTTCTGAGCACTGACCCGGACAAATGTTTTGCTTGCATTTCAAAATCATTTTTTATTTAAAAAACACCATGAAAAGTCGAAGCAGGATCTCTTTCTTGTCTCTGGGATTTATTCAAACAAAAGGTTAGTATAATAGCTTGACCAAAGTTGTCAAGAGCACTTGCACGCAACAAGGCTGCGTCTCAGTTTAACGAAAGCCGTTGACACATTAACCTTTAGAGGACCTCCACTTCCTGGTCCCATAGGTGTGGGTCACATAGGTGTGTAGTAGTCGTGAACTCATTCATGGCATAATTTTTGTTGCCCACAGGACGGCTTTATGCTGTCCCAGAGTCGTGCACCAACTACGCTAAATTGTTAACAACGTTTTCTAAACACTCTACAGGTTTCAGTATCTTAACGAGGAGGAGTTCTATGAATCCCAAGTTGTTTGCCCAGAACGCCCCAAGAGGAAGTAGTGAAGGAGGCCTCATAATTATTAGTGCACGACGCGTACGCGTATGGCAACATTCATTCATAAATGAAGGACCACACTTACAAAAAAAAATCAACGTGATGCGCAAGACTCAGAAATACTAGACGATGACTCGTGCAGTGTCGTCGCCTTTCTGTGGCACGCCTGAAAGGTAAAGAGAACGTACGACGCCAGGAATACGTAGAGCCGGATTTAATTAGACAGCCACTCAGGGGCGTAACCGACATAGTCGGCAAAGTGCCTTATAGTGCACGCTTTTGCAGTATTTTGTGTTTTGTTGCACCAAGAGGGAACGCTCAATGACGAAGAGCGAGCACTTTATTTGTGGCCAGACAGCTAGCAGCCTTGTTAGCATAACTTCACGCCGCGGGTACTCCCGAGAGTGCAATGCAGTGGAGTAGCCAGATATATTTTCCCGACAGGGAGAGGGAAGGGGTAGCTACGCCTTACGTTTGCTCGTGCGTGGGTTTGTACATGCGACATGTGCATGCATGCAAAATAATTTCGAATGGAGAGGGGGAGTGGCGGAGAGTTGAATCCTGCTCTCCTCGCCACACCGGTGGTACGAAGAGCATGTGTCGAGGATCAAAGCCACCGATATATTTCCCTCCTTAAGTTTTGCACACAAATAACCCATACATAACAGTTCTGTCACAGTACGAGAGTCTTGCTAATCCTGATTTCAGCAGCGCTTACAGCATTGACCGAGCGTATTCTACTTCGCTTCAGAACCACACCCATCGCAGTGCATCAATTCGAGGTATACGTTTAGTAATTGCCCTTAGGAATAACAATGCGCTTGAGGGGGGCCTCGGAAACACTGATTGAATAAATGATCAAGTTAGGATTATTATCTTCTCAAGATCAATAGAAGTTTCAAGCTTACGCGCAACGCCTTTTGCCACTCCCTTTCCAGCCTCCGAACATCGCTTGCTGCCGTGCCAACTGCTCATGCGCAATGTTTCTACGAGCGCCAAAGCAACGGCTGTGAGCTGCGATGAATGGATACTTCTAATTCCACTTACCATTAGCAAGGTGCGCCCGTGAACGGAGACGTTTACAGTGCACCGTTATTTACGTACAGCGCTCACTCGTAACACATATAGTTCCGCGTGGCGCGCTGTATACTGTTGTGGGCGTGGTTCGTGGTCTGCAGCACAAGCTACCAAGGAGCGTTCCCGACTGTTTGGCATTCAAGTCCTCACGACATTCCTTCCCGATGACGGCAGCTACCCACAACGCTCTTCTCCAGGACCGGTAAAAAGCAACCAAAAGAAAGTAACGGTAAACGAAACGCCCATTACAGCTTCATTATCGTTTCAAGGTCCTTTCCCCCCTTCCTCCTCCAAACACAACGCTTTTTTTATTACTCCCGACCAACTCTCCGCAAACCGTTCACGTTTTTGTTTGCTTCACTTAAAACCTCGTGCCAAATGCGCGCTCAGCGACGCTATTTAAACGCAGCGCCACCTTTTCTGTCCTTGTCAGAGTCTCGCAGTTCCACGTGCTAAACGGTCGACGTCGTTGACTTTCTGTCAGCGAAGTATCCACGATGCCTACCAAAGGGTGGCCTATTATCCGCGTACGGGCGGCTTTGTTTATCGCAGTATGCTCCGTCGTCGGCGTCGCAAGCGACCCCTTGTGCCAGGAGACAACGCCGTTCCATTACGATCAAGCGCAGCTTACATGCTCGGACTTCACCAGCGCCGAACAACTAGAGGCCAGCTTACCTGAACGGCCGAACGGCGACAAGATTGAGCTCCTGCTCAAGGACAGTCGACTCCAGTACATACCACGGTCGGTCTTCCAGAGAGTCAAACCGTCGACGCTGGTGCTGAGCAACGTGACAGTCAGAAGCTACAGGGCGCCTGATTCGGACGCTTCCGTGTTTGCCGAACTTCGAGACACCCTGGAGAAGTTAGTCTTCCACAAGAACAGCAGCCTGCCGGACACGTGGAGCTTGCTTAAAGATAACCGACGGCTCAGTGAGCTGCTACTGTTCAGGATGGCTTCACTTAGATTGGGTGAGGACTTCGACGAGTTGCCGACCAGTGTTAGGGACGTGGCCGTAGTGCAAAGCACGATCTCTGGCGTGGACGCCCGTTGGCTGTCATCCTTGAGCAACCTGGAGAGCCTCCGCATTGAAAAAGTCAATTTGGGGAAGTTCGAAAGATCAATGCTTCCGAGACCAGCTACTAAGCTCAAGTATCTAACAATAGCGTGAGTAGCGGATTTTCTTTATTTTATTGCGTTATTTATTCTGCCTAGTAAAGAAGTCGTATATCTGTCTTGGCGTTCACAACAAACACTTCAAGTTTAATGTTTGTTTCACTCTTTGACTGTCGTGTGGAATTCATAATTAATCCGCAAATGCGTATCACGGCCGTTTCCACATTCCTTTAACTATAATTGTTGGTGTTTTAAGTCACAAACTCCCTATATGGTTACGAGGGACGCCGTGATAGTGGGTTGTTGAAATTTCGACCACCTGCGGATAATTAGCGTGTACCTAAACCCAAGTACACGGACCCATAGCATTTATCCTTTATCGAAATGCGGCCGCCGCGGACCGGATTCAATCCCGTGACCCTTGGGGTGGCAGTTTTATTTTATTTATTTATTTACAAAATACTGCAGGCCCATTTAAGGGCCCCAGAAGGAGGGGCAGAGATCATAACATTGCACACAGGTGTAAGATAGCAAGAACAAAAATGATACATCATATACAAAAGATACAAAAACATAGGTAATGGTTAAATACGCTCAAATGCCTCATCAGAGCCGGTTAACGATTGAGGTAGGCAGTTACAGTCGTTTATGGTTCGAGGAAAGAACGAGTATTTGAAAATGTTTGTTCTGGCGAAATGCGGTGTTAATTAATGAGTTTGTCGATGCCGGGTTTGTCTTGTCGTAAGCGGTTTCAGATACAAATCACGGTTTACTGACAGCTTGTTGTTATTTAAAAGAAAAAAGAAATTCGAGCCTGTGAGTTTTACGACTCACAGTAAAGCGCCGTGACCAATATATCACTGCGACGGATATTTCCGTATTCCAGTTGTGTGCAGCATGGATGCGTAAAATCAGTACGAGCAAGTGGCGAACGTTCACCCATGAACAGCGACAACGGTAAAATTTAACGCTTGGCGCTGCAGTACAGTGATACGGCACTCTTCCCTTCCCCTGTGTAGGGTAATCAACGAGATGCTTTTTCTCGTTAACGTCTGTGCCTTCTGTGTCGCCTTCCTTCTTTCCTTCATTCATGTTGCACGTAACGTGCTGGCTCGGATGTTCACACAGTATTGCCAGCCTTCATCCTTAACCACTCACCAGCATGTGGCTCATTTACAAAAATTTTCGATTATTTCCATTCAGGTGCCTCTTCATACGTACAACCCGGCCGTGGTGGTCTATAAGGCACTCGGCTGCTGACCCGCAGGTCACGGGATCGAATCCCGGCCGCGGCGACCGCATTTTCAATTGAGGCGGAAATTCTTGAAGCCCGTGGGCTTAGATTTATAGTTGGTCGAAATTTCCGGAGCCCTCCATTATATTCGTTGTCTTTCATAACCATAAGGTGGTTTTGGTGCGTTAAACCCCAATTATTATTATTATTATTATTATTATTATTATTATTATTATTATTATTATTATTATTATTATTATTATTATTATTATTATTATTATTATTATTATTACATCTTTATACGTACACTTTCAACAAATCAAACATTTTTTTATGAAAACGAATGGTTGCGAATTTCTAGGGTTGGTTTAGAGTACGTTAGGAGCAACATAATTATTTAAACTGGTGTTGTCCTTCACCTAAAAAAGCTTTCTTCCTTAACTAACATTTTATCATATGTGGGGTTTTACATCCCGCAACCGCGATATCAGTGCGAGGCACGCCGTTGTGGAGTGCTACTGAAACTTCGACCACGTGGTGCACGTTAACGCGCACTGCCATTGCACAGTACCAAATGCTCTAGCATTTCGACTCCACTGAAATTCGACCACCGCTGGTGGGATCGAACACGCGACCTTTGGTTCAACAGCCGAGCTCCGTAACCACCGATCCACCATGGCGGGCACACTTTTTCTCTTGCCACTGAGTTGGGTCGCAGTATACCTACAAGAAATCTCGCTAAACGATGTCTTCTTTGGGCGTGCGTGGAGAAGCATTTTCATTGATGGATGTTCATCCGAAAACTCCGAGGTTCGCTCTCTCCTCGCTTTTTACACGTCAAGCGGCTTTAAAGCTCCAAAGTTTGACGTCACACGACAGGATACAGTGCGAAGAAAATTCGTTCAAAAGTGGGCTGCCTACGGACGTTTCGTCGCATACTTGGCTTACATTTTTCCTCGATTACTCTCGCATCGTTATTTGCAGTTGTTGATTGATTGATATGTGGGGTTTAACGTCTATTTGCAGTTGTGTTAAATTGCTCAGGACCAGTTAAAGTTTAAACAAATTCGTCAGATCTTAAAGGTTTCCATACCTCCACTGCGCTGCTACTTATTGTGAATTCGAACCACATGTCGATAAAATGGGAATCCGAAGTGCTGTTACTTAAAAATTTTATCAATGCACGTATATTGGTAGCTTAACTAGCGTGCACACCAATTAAGCTATCGATATACGTGCATTGATATACGTGGGTGGGACAGGTGAAAGGCCATTAAAAGACCATGTTGCGAGATATATACTCACATAGCACGTACGCGCCAATTATACGAAGAGTGAAACACGCTGGTACTTCGTGGAAAAAGTGGATGCGCATGACCCATCTCGGCGCAAGTAGCCATGCAAGTAGCATCAACTTCCCGAGTCGTTAGCGAGCCTGTTGATATGAGAATGCATACCACAACTATATTTTTGCTCCTTCCCATGCGAAGAAAGACGTTTCCTTATTCTAATGAGCCTAAGATATGCGCAAGAAAGCAAATTTACTGAAAACTAACTAA